GTTCAGCAACTTTGAACGACTCGGGACCTCTATCGACCTGGGAAGTTTCGGGCGGTGATAATTTAGTGGTGCTGATGGTGGCTGAAAAGTTTGGATCCCGATGATACCGGAGCTTCATTGGCAAGAATTCTGGCCTATCTCCTATGCAGTGGCCGGTCGGAGTCAACGTTATCGCCGCGTAGATCGAGATTCTTTACTTCGTCGGCAAAGATTATACGTTTTCCAGAGTTAATCCTGTATCCGAAATGCTTGCCATTCGATGCGAATGGAAGCGAAGCGGTGAAATCAATATAACACTCTATGCAACGGCACGCGCGTTCATATGCTAAGAGAACAGGCTATGGTTTTACATTCAGAGATTCGGAACACCTGTCGAACCCGAGCAAGTTTGAAAAGAAGTTTCTACGTCGTCGAAGGTCTTGAATAAATGTTATCCGAGGACTATCGCGACCGGCTAGACCGTATGTATACAAACATGAGGCAACAGATGTTGCCATATCGCGTGTCCTCTTATAAAATCTTGAACATTCTTCGCAGACCGCAGGTGTTCCGACACTTTCGCGACCGTGTGGCATCGAACTTTTCGACCTTCAGCAACGCCACTCTCAATTCATCGACGACGGTCTCGCCGAAATTTCCCTTGCAATCGTAGAAAGATCTTTTTTTCTACGACAGCAACGTTCACTGTTGAAGACTACACCGATTCCGAAGCTTTGCCTAGAACGATCTTAAAAATGACGCAAATTGATCCGTACAGCATAGACCACAGAGACGCACATCCATCGTTTATTCTGTTCCTAAAATAATCGAATACAAAATTGAGCAAAATTAGACACATTGTGAAACATCAAAATTCGAAGAACCCTTTATCTATGGTATCTTTTCTACCCAAAATTACTTTGTCCAAAATTTAAATTGTAATAAGAACTAAAATAATCGAATACAAAATTCAGCAAAATTAGACTTAGTGCACTGTGAAACATCAAAATTCGAAGACCTCCTTATCTATGGCATTTTCTCTACCCAAAATTACTCTGTCTAAAATTTAAATTTTAACAAGAACTAAAATAATCGAATACAAAATTCAGCAAAATTAGACTTAGTGCACTGTGAAACATGAAACTCGATCCCCTTATCTATGGCATTTTCTCTACCCAAAATTACTCTGTCCAAAATTTAAATTTTAACAAGAACTAAAATAATCGAATACAAAATTCAGCAAAATTAGACATAACGCACTGTGAAACATCAAAACTCGAAGACCCTCTTATCCATGGTATCTTTTCTACCCAAAATTACTCTGTCCAAAATTGAAATTTCAACAAGACCAGACAAAATGCACGACATCGAGCCTAATGACCTTCATCTATAATTTCTCCTCCATTCGAAATGACCGAATACGAAAGGAAAAGACGAAGTGCACCGTACGGCATCAAACAGGAGGAACACCCATTCGTCATTTACTTCGCACCAGATTAGCAAACACAACGCTAGAATACAACAGAAATCCAGTTTCCCGAGGAACCACTGATCCACCATTCCACCGTTCCCTAGTTTCCACAATTCGTCTCTCCGGCAAGATATTAGAATGCAACAGTAACTTTCCGGCCTCGCTCGAAGCACGTTGCCAGCTCGGAAAGCCGCTTCGGCCACGTACACACAACGCCCCGCGAAGCCTTAAAACTTACAAGGCTTTCGAGTTCGATTGAGAAAGCACCTTTCACGTCCGCGATCTAGCTGCAAACAAACTCGCCCGAACTATACCGAAACAACCGGTGGGGTGGGTTCAGCTATCGATCAGGTTCTCGTGGCAGAGACACGACGCGCCGGCAGCTCGTGTGTGCGTTTCACTTTTTTTTCCCCCTTTCTGGCAACGGCAGCCAGCCTCTCGAAATTCCTTGCCGCCACTTCACCCGGGCTTGGTGGCTGCTCTCGCGCGACAATCGAGAGTGTCTTCTTTCTTCCGACCCGTGACCGAGTTCCGGAGAGGCCTAGTTACACCTGTGGTCACTTGTCTGGCTTCGTGGAACGTCGCGATAAGCCGCGAACCCGCGGAATTCGGCCTGGAAACACGTGCTCCGCTGGTATTTCCGGTTCTTTGGCCAGTCGCGGTCGGATAGACAGCTACAGTAATGTCTCTCTTACTGAAGCTCAGATTGTCCACTAAAATGGAGAATTTGGGAAGAGGAGATACGATTATTCGAGCCTTGCGGCTCGTTTTTAGAATTGTGGACAATTTATAAGCATAAAAATAAACCGCAAGGCAACTCGAATAATCGTATCTCCTCTTCCCAAATTGTCCATTTTTGTGGTCAATCTGGGCGTCAATTAGAGAGACATTACTGTATTCTTTCGTCAAGGGTCGAAAACGAACGTTCGATGAAGTAGATTTATCGACACCTCCGCCGGCATTTTCACATTTCGAAGATCGTAAATTTATTTATCTTTTTGAGAAGTTGCTTCATTGTTGTTCAATTTATTCGACACTTTTGTTTTGCCGGTTTTTAGGGACTCGCTGTTATCGAATTCCTTTTTCTGCCTTTTGATTTTTATATATTTTTTGTATTCTTATATAATTTATATTTTCGATATTTATCGAAATTTATATTTTATATTCTTATAAATATATCTATACATATTTCTTTCGAACTTTCTCAATTCATTTAACACTTTCGTGTTTCTGCTTTTTAGACGTTCGTTGCTACCGAATTGTTTGGTCGACAGTCGACTCTGTCCAAAATTTAAATTTTAACAAGAACTAAAATAATCGAATACAAAATTCAGCAAAATTAGACATAATGCACTGTGAAACATGAAACTCGATCCCCTTATCCTGTCTCTTATACACATCTTTTTAACAAGAACTAAAATAATCGAATACAAAATTCAGCAAAATTAGACATAATGCACTGTGAAACATGAAACTCGATCCCCTTATCCTGTCTCTTATACACATCTTTTTAACAAGAACTAAAATAATCGAATACAAAATTCAGCAAAATTAGACATAATGCACTGTGAAACATGAAACTCGATTTCATGTTTTTGTACATTTTTACATCTCCTTTTTCCAGAATTTATTTCACAATTTTTCATATTTAGCATTTTGGTATTTTTGTTTTCCAGAGATTCGTTGTTACCGAATCGTTCGACAAATAGTCGCAAGTTAATTGTCTCAAAACTTCGTCAGGATTGTTTCTTTCCCTGTGCCCATGAATTTTTCGATACTTCCAAACCTACATTTTCAAAGATTTACTCCGTTGTATCTCAATCTATTTATCACTTTGGTCTTCTCTCGCTTTCGAGAAGATTCATTGCTACCGAATTAAGTGCAACACAGTCGCGAAGTCGATCACTTTGAAACTCCGTCAAACTTATTTCTTCTCCTACCTTCTGATTTTATCCTAAAGAAGAGGAAGATTCCTCGAACTCGAATTTCATCGTAAAGCAGTTCGTTTTCTCGAAAAAAAAGGTTGGTTTCCCGAAGTTGTCAAAGGACGAGTCGCTTCTCGAAGGCAGAGTTTCGCCGCTCGGCGCCCGGACACGTTTCAAAGCGGCGATTTCACGCGCTACAACTTTTAGGAGTAATCTTCGCGAGCTTTAACGTCGTCGCACTTCCCGACCGAGAGTTTTTTTCCAGGCCCCGGCCATTGAGAAAGGATTTCCTCCCTTCGTTATCCCCCTGGAAGGTGTTTAAGTGGGTATGATCGGCCGTGGACCGAGAACGTTCGGCAATCTCCGTGGAAACGGCGCTCTTCGAACGAGCTCTTTCCACGGGATAATCCCGTCGGACGTGATCCGTCCGTCTTGTAGAACGCAAACTGTTTTGTCGGATCCTGCTGGATAAGCCAACCGAAGCTCGCTGTTCCCTGAAATTTCGGCCGTTGTCGTTTCCCGAATTCCGGCGACTTTCGCGCGAATTCCGGCAACTTCCGCGCGAATTCCGTGAAGCTATACGTGCCAACGGATCTGCCAATTAATTCGTCCGTCGACCGACGCTCATCTTTCGCGAGTCACTTCGTGGAACGACGTTTCTACGTTTCGGGAACTTTCTAACAGGCATTCGCGTTTATTTCACTTTACGTCGGAGACCGAATACAGATAACTTGGAAAGCGAGAAGAATGATGAATCATTTTTCGAAGATTTTCGTTCGATGAAAGCGACTGAAACGACACTTTCATATTTAGTTACGAAATTAAATTTTTATACTTTTCGGAATTAAGCTTTCGAAATTTTAGATACAGTTCTCAAAACTTCGAACCAAATATAAGAATTTTAAAATAACTCGAATAGATTATTAATCGAAAACTAAAAATTGATTTTAATTCATTTTCCGTATGACATGCTTTTCTAAAATAATTCTGTTATTCCGAAATAGATAGAACTAAATGAAAACTTAGTTTAAAATAATATATTTAGAAAATTTCTGAGAACGTCCAGATCTGATTCGCAGTCTGCTGTCAGTTTACGAATGAAATCGTTATCGAGCATCTCGTTAATGAATCCTAGATCATCGGTCTCCGATCTTCGAAGGAGTCGCCGGAGCGTTAATAGCAATCGCGGAAAGAGAAAAGAAAGCCTCGAATAACGAAAACAGCGAAAGAAAAAAACCGTAATAGGAAGAGACGCGAGGGCAAACGAAGGAAAAAACTGGTTTTAGCGTAGTGATTTATGGTCGCGGCCGGATCGGATTCCCGGAATAAATCAAGGCCCGTTGGATCGGCTGAATCCAGAAGGGAATATCGACGGTTTTCCTTGGGAAAACACTTGCGAATTGATGGAAGCTCGGCCGCGTAGGAGATTGAAAGTCAACAGAGAAAAGGGAGCCTAGGAATTCATAACTCGGAATCCCGGCCACAATCTCGACTAGCGTGTTCCCTCGGAAAAAGACGACGGGAGCGTATAGAAAATCTCCGACGATCGAGCGTCCCGATCCGGAGCAACGAAGATCACGGGTCTTCCGAAGGTACAGCGAAAGCACGCCGATTTATAATTTCAGTAACGAAAAGAGTGAAAGAGAGAGACGGACGCGCGATCATCGCACGCAGAACGTTCCCGAAGAGGTTCGAAGAGCGTTCGGCGGTCCAGAAGTCCATGGATCTAGGATCCATGACGTCCTCGAGGAGGACGGAAGCCGCTCGTCCTCGAAGAGCAAGCATTCCGGCGGGATCTAGACGAGGAAGACGAAGAGGAAACGCGTCCCGATCGACTCTGCAGCCGGAGCTCGCCGCGTTTTCGAGGACGATGATTCGTTCATGCACGCACACAAGCCTGCACACCTTGATCCACCTGTTCCGCTCGCGAACCCGGCGATCCAGGCGTTCTCAAATCACGACACGATCCATCCTCTTCGTCGCAGTCGAACCAAGCTTTTCTTCCTCGAAGTTTATCCATTCGAAATCGAGGTTCGACTGCTTAACTAATTTTTCGGACTGCTCGGCGCTGAGATATTTCTTCGGGACTAACTCGGTAGACAATTGCAAACGGTTGGAATTTTTCGATGGACATCCCTTGTCCGTCGGGATTTATTCTTTCATTCGGTTGGACGTGTTTGTCTTGTACGCAACAGGTGCGGTAAAGATAATAGACAGTTACGGTCCGAGTTTATTGTTGCTTCAATTCGAGTTGTCCGATACACCGTGGTTATTTATAGATAAATAAGTATAGGAGGCGGTGATACGTTCTTCGCGCTGTTATGTTTGCGATTTAACTGTATTTTCTGGGTATGGATTTGTTATCGGTGCTCCAGTTAAGTGTACTAATCACTGTGCGCGATTATGCGAGCATCTTGTGTTGTTCCAATGACAGCGCGCTTTCTAAATTGCGATAAATCGGCGTGGAAAAATCGTGCAATAGATTTCGAGAGCTCGTTGCAAAGAGAAAACTTCGATCTTTAATCCGATTCTTGCTTCACTCTCACGAAAATAATTTTTCATCGACGAAAAATAAAAATATGAATGAAAAATGAAAATGTGTAAAATTCCTGAGAAGAAGTAACGTCTTCGTTTCTCTTCCCGGCACACGATATAAAAAGCTTCTTTTCAAAAATCAGCCATGGGGTGTAAAAGTAGTGGCTTCGAGCTTTCAAACGAGCCCGGATAGACTGTATCACGATGTTTTATTCGCACGATTGCACCCGTAGCAATAACGACAAATCGATGCCCGAAACTTGACGATCTTTAATTTCCACAATAATATTTACAATCGGCGATCGCCCGAGACAATTGTGGTCACTTGTAAACGCTTCAATCATCGATACAGAACGTGTAAAATCTCCTTCAATTAGTCAACGCAATTTCTACCGAGATTAAACTCGGCGAACGAATAAAACGGCGCAGCGACAAGGGTCGATCAGAAGTTTTATCTCCGGCGACCGGACGAGTCGTCGTGTTAGACCGGCGGTTTCGGCATTCCGAACCCGTGAAACGGGATCGAGACCGACGATGCCGGGTTCGCGAGCTCAAATTGGACACGGTCCCATCCCATCGGCGCCGGTCTGATCACCGATGGGTCCTCGGCAGCCAGCGACGACACGCGGATCGATCGGCGCCGCTCTTCAATCGAGTCTCTTAACTCGCTAGGTTTAACTAAGCAACCGATAATCTTTAAGGACAGCGACGAGAGGTAGGTGATGGCGAGGAAAACTAGGGGAAGAGGGTGGGACGGAGGAAATTGGCGGAAGGCTTTACGATCGAGCTCGTAAAAACGAAACGGCGATGAGACCCCGAGCAAGGGTTCGGAGTCGTCTGTCCGCGTGTAATCGATTTTCCTCGGGTTCCCTCGGGGTGCGGTGGGTTTTGGGAGGGTGGCCGAAGAACGGCCGGAGCGTGGCCGGAGGGAGGACGCTAGCTCGCGAGAGATCGATAGGGGACGTGTCCGTCGATTTCAGCGAGAGGAGAACGCGTCCTATAGGGACCCACGTAACTTGGTACTCTAAATAGACGTAAGATAATGCCCTCGTTCTTTCAAAACAAAAAAAAGAGGTACTCCCTCGACGAGAGTCCCGATTTTTCTTTCACTTTCGTTTCCCTAGCCGATAAGTCGTCGACCGCGCCGATCGGCGAGCCGCGTCGATCCTGGATCCTCGATCCTCCCCTTCTCGATCGTTTTTTCCTCGTCGATCGTGGCACAGCGAACGCGAGAAGAAACGATTGCGAACGAAAGCGCGGAGCAATATGTTTTGCCAGCGAAACAACGGTTTCCAGCGTGACAGTCTCGCGGAAGCTCGTCCGTGAATTATTGTAAATAAATAAATAAATTGCAGCCGGCAGGCATCGGAGGCGATACGTTGCGTCAGAGACAAATGGTCTTCTCGCTTTTGTTTTACGCGCGACGGTCGCGCCGAGATGCGACCGTGAATTATCGCAGACGAACGAACGAACAGAGTGCAAGAGTAATGTTGCGCGCGGTCTGAATTCATATAAAAAGATTGCTTTAATTAACGCGTCGAATTGAAGCGGAAGGGAAACAGAAATATCGCCGAGAAGCAGTTTCAAGATCTGCTTTAAAATCATGTATAAATAATTCGATCGATCGATCGATCGGGGGAGGATCGAGGGATCGAGGATCGAAACGGCTCGTCCAGAATTTCGCGTCCGTCGCGAGAGAGAAAGCGACGCTTTTAATTTTTGATCGGCGTCCCGACGCCGTTCGTTGTTCGCTGTAAATAATCGTGGAGCCGGCATGGGGAATCTCGTGTTATCTGTAATTAACTTTGTAATTAATTGTAAACGATCTAACGTGCGAGGACGAACAAAGATGATAAAGAGAGAGGATATATATATATATTATATTATAATTGCAAATAAAAAAAAGAAGGGATATATTATATATATATACATATACATATATACATAAAGATATATTATAATGGTAAAAAGTACATGTACACGGTTACGTGTGGACACGTACGAACGCGTGGACGAGCGAATAAGAGAGAATTCCACGTGTAAAAGTTCACCTAAATACAGAACACACACCCACGCACACATACACACACATACACACAATACATACACACAAGCAAACAAACGAATACACGCAGAGAGAGACACACGGATACTTGCAGCACCCTCGCGTCGCGCAATAAAATAAATTCTAAATCAACTTTCAAACTAGAATGCGTGCCTGAGTGCGTGGGAGACAAAAATCCCTTCGAGACGCCGAGCCATCGTCTTCCCCGAGCTTCTCGAGAGCTTTCACTCTAATTTCCAAGTGTCTGCCACTCTTTAAGGGCGGAACTCTTTTCGCCGCATCTCTCTCTCTGTAAATAACTGCTCCCCGCTTTTTACTCGATTCTCTCCGGAAATTAATATTCCGCCAACGGCGAGTTAGGAAATTCAGAACACTTTGGGGGAAATACTTGCTTTCTTTAAGCATTTCCGGTCCGCGGATGAATACAGTGCATCGAACGGATCGTTGTTTGCTCGAGAAACCGACCAGCTACGCTGTCCGAAGAAATTCGTTCTCGCGCTGAAATAAATCGGATTTTAGGGGCCGCGCGAGCACGCTGGTAAGTTTCGTTCGGGAAATTGTTTTAACAAGAGAGCGTCGTTAATTGGCAGACTGTGGACTTTCCTGCGAGTTTTCCGAACGGGGGGACGTCTCTATTTTGTAACGTGTAAGACTTCGACGATGTCGTTCCTTTACCTTAGGAATATTAAACCGACACTTTACGGTGCATCGTTATTCGTCACGACGAACGAATGTATCAAAATCTTCCTACGACGATTAAACTCGCTATTGTAAAATCGATTAAAGAATAGCTGCGAATCATATCGAGTACTGTTAAAAGGTCGCCGGCAGCAGTTAAACGCGATCGATGAGGTGAAAGTACCTATCGTGGAACGCTTTTGCAGGGGGATATATTAAAATATCGTCGATTTTATTACAACTGAAACGTGTGTTGTTGTCAAATATTTATACTACTGTTCGGTAGATCGATGTTTCTAGATAACGTAATGAATCTTAAAATATTCATTTAATATGAATAAAAAGTAATACGAGTAAGCTAAGTAAAGCGCGAGCATGTATCTATTAGGGAACACCGTTTTCGTACCGTGGTCCCGGTGTTTCGTAGATCGGGACAACGATGAAACCGAAGTACACAATGTGTTCACAGTATGTTCATTCGTAGAAACACCCGTTTATTCGAATAAACGTTTCCCCTTACGGATCATTGTTCCATAAGAGTATTCGCGCGAGCGAATTTACGAAGAACAATGTCGAAAAATATGGGATAGAATTTTTACATCGACTTTCTTAGGCTCTCTATCTGTTTCTCATTGTATCGTTTGTGCTACTGTTTCAAGGAGGGGGTCACAATTCAGCGGCGTTCCGTAACAGGTACTTTTACCATCCAAACGTTTTCCTCGCGGAAAGCTTCACAGTTTGCGACAATCGTTTCCCTCGCCGTATCGAGCACAAAACGACGGGACGACGACGCGGCGATTGAATTTACGCGGATAATCGTCGGGCAATTTGCGCCAGGCGCGCACGAGTATCAGGATTGCCGGGGTTTATTAAAAACAACAGGTAATCCGGCCGCGAGACAAAGGAAAACGGCGTTCGAGGGGGCGTCGAGCTAGAAAACCGGCCGAGTGTTATCGCGTCGGAAAAACGGTTTCGCCGAAAGGGAGAACGAGGAAACGAGAGATCGAGAAAAAGCGTGCCGGGAAGAATGAAAAACGCGACTCGAGTGTGTAGACGGTGCTCGGCGGCTCTTGGGCGATGTGGATAAAAAAAAAGACGTAAACGCGATTATTAAGTAAATAAAAGAGCAAAGAAGATTATTATATTATATGATCGTAGAGAGATATTCGAGAATAATGTGTGTCGGCCGCTTTGGCGTCCGACCAGCTGCAGATCGCGTCATCGCGTTCAAAGAGGAACGGAGGGAGAAAACGGTGGGAGAAGGGATGAAAAATCCGGACGAAAGTTTTTCCCGGCGAGGAGAAAGATGGGGGAGCGATGTTGAACACGAGAGAGAGAGAGAGAGAGAGAGAGAGAGAGAGAGAGAGAGAGAGAGAGAGAGAGAGAGCAAGAGGCGAAAGGCTAGAGCGTAGTCGAGAGGCAAACTGGCGGCCGGAGTTTTGAAACCGGGGATCGCGTTATCCGTTCCGGCTTCTTAAGTGGACCGGATCGACCGGTCGCCATCAATTCGCCATTTCTTGTTTTTTCTCTCTATCCGCCGTTGTTCTGCCGCGACGCGAAACAGAGAGCGTAAACGGCGCCCGTTAACCAAGAAGAATGGCTAAGCTCCGGGCCGCCATCTTGTCGCTCCGGGTCGCGCCAGGAGAACCAGGCGAGACCGGAAGGAAACGAGGAGCGAACGAAACGAGAAAGAGCAGGCTAGCAGCGTGCGTGTGAGCAACTTCAAGTCTAGTTACCGAAACTAATTAGTCTCTGGTTCTTGGCGTGTAGTCGCGCCTTTGCTTCCGGTCTACGCCGGAAGTCGATCGGACTCTATCGAGCTCCGCGATTGTCAAATTCGTCGGCGTGCGTGGCCTCGGTCGTTGGACTTCGGCCTTTGATATCGCTGGATCTTAGCGATCTAATTGCCGACTGTTTCGAAGATCATTTGCTTCTGCGATGTACAGAAAAGAGAGATAGTTGTAGGAACTCGCTGTGCAGACGATTCTCCGAGGACAACGGGAAATGGGAGACGAGTCTCGTGACACTTGCGACGGTGCTCGAAGTACACGGATTTGGCTCCGTTTAATTTTCTGTTTTTATTTATACGATCTATTGGATCGTCTGTACTGTGAAAAGAACGCCGTCTGTTCCGTAGGAAGATCTTTCGGAGCCCCGCCTCGAAGTACAAAGCGAGAAATGAATGAAATGCTTCGAAATTTCTGCACGGTAAATGCTCCGCCGAGAAACGCTCGTTCGCGCGAGTTTCCGAAACTCGCCCAGTGACAGGTCAAATTAACAGAATTTCGTGGCGATGACGAGCAAACTATTTCCAGTATCTAAGTATCGGGAAAGCACCCTGAGACATTCCGCCTCTCGCCACTGGTTTTTGGGCCGAGTGTGCACGGGGTTTCGTCCTCTGAAACTGCGAAGTAATAATTAGACTGCGAAACTTCGGACGATTCTGCGACTAAATCACAAAGTAAACGCACGGTCCTCGTATTGTAGTTTCTGTCGGGTTAAAAGTGAACCGAGAACCGTGCAGATTCAACANCGGCGTTCGAGGGGGCGTCGAGCTAGAAAACCGGCCGAGTGTTATCGCGTCGGAAAAACGGTTTCGCCGAAAGGGAGAACGAGGAAACGAGAGATCGAGAAAAAGCGTGCCGGGAAGAATGAAAAACGCGACTCGAGTGTGTAGACGGTGCTCGGCGGCTCTTGGGCGATGTGGATAAAAAAAAAGACGTAAACGCGATTATTAAGTAAATAAAAGAGCAAAGAAGATTATTATATTATATGATCGTAGAGAGATATTCGAGAATAATGTGTGTCGGCCGCTTTGGCGTCCGACCAGCTGCAGATCGCGTCATCGCGTTCAAAGAGGAACGGAGGGAGAAAACGGTGGGAGAAGGGATGAAAAATCCGGACGAAAGTTTTTCCCGGCGAGGAGAAAGATGGGGGAGCGATGTTGAACACGAGAGAGAGAGAGAGAGAGAGAGAGAGAGAGAGAGAGAGAGCAAGAGGCGAAAGGCTAGAGCGTAGTCGAGAGGCAAACTGGCGGCCGGAGTTTTGAAACCGGGGATCGCGTTATCCGTTCCGGCTTCTTAAGTGGACCGGATCGACCGGTCGCCATCAATTCGCCATTTCTTGTTTTTTCTCTCTATCCGCCGTTGTTCTGCCGCGACGCGAAACAGAGAGCGTAAACGGCGCCCGTTAACCAAGAAGAATGGCTAAGCTCCGGGCCGCCATCTTGTCGCTCCGGGTCGCGCCAGGAGAACCAGGCGAGACCGGAAGGAAACGAGGAGCGAACGAAACGAGAAAGAGCAGGCTAGCAGCGTGCGTGTGAGCAACTTCAAGTCTAGTTACCGAAACTAATTAGTCTCTGGTTCTTGGCGTGTAGTCGCGCCTTTGCTTCCGGTCTACGCCGGAAGTCGATCGGACTCTATCGAGCTCCGCGATTGTCAAATTCGTCGGCGTGCGTGGCCTCGGTCGTTGGACTTCGGCCTTTGATATCGCTGGATCTTAGCGATCTAATTGCCGACTGTTTCGAAGATCATTTGCTTCTGCGATGTACAGAAAAGAGAGATAGTTGTAGGAACTCGCTGTGCAGACGATTCTCCGAGGACAACGGGAAATGGGAGACGAGTCTCGTGACACTTGCGACGGTGCTCGAAGTACACGGATTTGGCTCCGTTTAATTTTCTGTTTTTATTTATACGATCTATTGGATCGTCTGTACTGTGAAAAGAACGCCGTCTGTTCCGTAGGAAGATCTTTCGGAGCCCCGCCTCGAAGTACAAAGCGAGAAATGAATGAAATGCTTCGAAATTTCTGCACGGTAAATGCTCCGCCGAGAAACGCTCGTTCGCGCGAGTTTCCGAAACTCGCCCAGTGACAGGTCAAATTAACAGAATTTCGTGGCGATGACGAGCAAACTATTTCCAGTATCTAAGTATCGGGAAAGCACCCTGAGACATTCCGCCTCTCGCCACTGGTTTTTGGGCCGAGTGTGCACGGGGTTTCGTCCTCTGAAACTGCGAAGTAATAATTAGACTGCGAAACTTCGGACGATTCTGCGACTAAATCACAAAGTAAACGCACGGTCCTCGTATTGTAGTTTCTGTCGGGTTAAAAGTGAACCGAGAACCGTGCAGATTCAACATTCTGTTGCTCTGCAAACAACCGCGCAGCGAATCTTTGCG